TATGTGGTTTCATTGACTTAACATATGAATGCATTATTCTAGGCTCAGTTGCATAAACCCTAATATTCCTGGGTTTAAATTAACCCGAACTGAACTGTGATTAAACCCTCTTTATTAGGTATGCTGAATCATTATCATCGTCATACAGTCAGTTGATACCGAGTATGATTATATCTTCGTCGATTGTGCGATGGCTATATAAACCAATTCTGGAACCGCACACTCTTCCACAGTCTTGGCACACCCAGTCTCTGAGGGCATTATCATTTCCTCTGATCTCTCGCTCCTTCCTGCGGTCACTATTTGCGGTCTCGTGTCTACGTCATAGATCTTCAAAAGTTTGTGGTCTGTCGTGGACTACTCGACGCCACTTGGGCCTATCATTTGTCCTCGACTCCCAGTTGCTATTATCGATACGGCACTTTGCCAAAATTTCCTTCAGAACATTAGTAGAACGTAGCGTTTTTGTTGACCTCCTTAATTCCGTTTTCCCTCTTTCAGTTGACTGTAGAGAATCGTGGAAGACGTGTTTTGGGCATGCGGACGAGGTGACCTGTCAAGCGATGTTGGTGCTTGATGATAAGGGCTTCCATGCTAGTTGTGTTGGCCTCCTCTAAAACACTAATGTTCGTTCGTCGGTCTTGCCATTTAATTCGTAGTATTATCCTTCTCACGCATCGCTGGTGGTATTTTGCTACGCTTCTTATGTGTCTTCTGTAGGTGGTTTCGCAGCCATATGTAAGTGTTGGTATTACAACTGCATTGTAGACGCGAAGTTTGATCTCAGCGCTGATGTGATTGTTGCAGACTCGCAATGTTTTCTGTACACTATAGATAAAGAAGTTATTCCACTCAATGCATACCTGAATTCCGAATTTCTCCCAAAAATAAATGGATTCAACAACAATACAATATACTGTCGATAATATGGAGTGCGGATATCTTTAATGAATTCTATATGTTAGCATGACGAATAGGTCTATATCAAAACTATAAAATTCATTTAATTAAGTTCATTACTTATGAACGTTCATCACTAACACATATGTCAAGCTGCGAAACATATTCATTAACTAATGAACTTTTGGTCATTGATTTGATGCATAAGAAATAATCATCAGTACAATGAATGTGGTTTATGAACGATTATTCATAAAATCAAGAAATAGAATCAGAGGACTTCAAAGTAAGTTCCTTATACTGATGAAAGGGTACGTTCGAATAATGGAAAATAAAAAATTCATGGGTTTTATGATATTAATGAACATAAATTTGTTACGTTAAGGTTTCTATGTCTATGAATACTGTTTAATTGTATTGATGAAATATTTCATTCAATTAATGACAACAAAATAGCAACCGCCATTCGTCAATATTACGAACGATTTATTTCAGTATGAGCTTATTTATTGCCCCTGATGATGGGATTTATTGATACCGAAACATGTAGGGCCGTTTAAAACAAATAAAGTATTTGTGGAGGAAGACTTTGAGCTTTTCTTTTGAATTAAATTAAAATATTGTCAACATCGAGCCTGCTTGGGAAAATAACACACTGTACATAATTTCAATAATGAGTTTGTTACAAATCGATAAAACACAGGTCATAATTATTATCCTGGTTAATTATGATGAGACAAGCAATAAACGGATATAAATTGCGCCGCGAGCAGCAGCAAAGGCAGACTTTATCCAGTGCAAGTACCTCTCGTTGAAAAAGGTCGTCTGGATTCACGTCTCCCCAGTGCAAGTACCTCTCGTTGGGAAAGCCCTTCTGGGTATCTTCAGCTTTATCGTTGTCCAGCACCGGTACCTCTAGTTGGAAAAGCTTCTCTAGACAAGGCATAAGGGTGACGATAACTCACCGACAGTCCCTCAAGCAGCGTTGACGTGTGGCTCCGTAATATAAGGATCCCAGTGATTGGAAGGGTCATGCATCCTATAGGACAAGCATATTATGTAAGGGCATATTTGGGAAAATATATATCTACACTTTTATACATTTTGAGCGAGTTTCTCTCCATCAACCCCCAAAGCTACAAACCCCCCATGTCACTCCCGTGAAGCGGGCAGTTGTGACAATATACCTTTTGAAATCTCAAAAATTTGTTAGTTTCTGTCTCATCTAAACGGCATTTAGATTTATATAATAATACTTATATTATTATATAAATCTAAATTAGTTTATAATAGACAAGCTATTTTTTTTTATATTAATATTGATTGTTTTCTTTATCTCGATAATAAGTGTTTGCATAAACCACTTAGGTTTTTGAAACAATAATAAAATGAAAAATAATATGTTTGTAGGTATATTTGTTTTAGTAGGAAAGATGCGTTCTCTCAACAACTCACTGATCAAATCATGAAAGTAGGAAAGTCAAGGAAAATTATATTGCTATGAGACTTCAATAGGCGCACACGAAGAAAATCAAACGACTATGTAGTCGGAAAATTTGGAGAGAATGTGACAAATAACAATCGAAAGAGCTGACATCAATATGCAAACAAAATAGCCGAAAACTTTTAAATGGATACTTTCAGCATAAATAGCGTTAGAAAATAAAACTAGACAAAAGAAAACGATTATTGACTACACTATTGCAAAACAGAGATCAAACGTAAAATTTCAGGATGTGAGGCCAGTGCAGTGAAGACAAATTTGACCTCAAGCTATACAAACATGAAAAGATTGGCAAAAAATCGAAAAATCACAGAGTAGTAGAAATTCCAAAACATTGAAACGCATTTCCAGCATACCGAAGAAAGTATTCATAGTACAGTATTTGAAGACTTAGACAAATACAAAAAAAAAACACAAAAATCTGATTGCTGGGATGAAGAATTAGGTTCAAGATACACAGAAAGTTACACACAAATACCACAATAATCCCAAGGCCCAAAATATAAACAGAAAAACCAAAACCAAAATATACATCGCCAAAATCATAATCACATAGTTATAGTCTAGAGATCTGGATGACTACCAAAGAACAGAATCGCAAAAATTGTGTAGGCAAACCACTATTGGGAGGAGAGGGAGAGTATTGAAAAATATGGTGATCGTATCCAGAGGCATTTTAACAATATAGAGAAACCTGTAACTTCAATTAGCTTCCAAATGAGTACTACTTATGGACAATTGACAATTCTTTTTGGTAACTATCCACCTCATTCGTGTCTTAGAGATGTCGTGAGTATAAATCATGTATAAGTCAGGTGCGAGCACCGACCGTTGTGAAACACCGGCAACCATTTTTCCAGTTCTTGAGCGAAGCTTCCCAATCATCACCGTGAAAGTTCTACCTGTCAATTTATTTTGAACCAGTTTAAAGGAATTTCCTTGATAGATTGAATCATCTTGTGAATTATTCATGGCAAACTCAGTCAAAGGCTCGTTGGACATCTAGCATGATGGCTCCAAGCTGTCTTCTTCCAATAATTATATATATCTCAGCATTCAAGCTCAGCTATGAATCCAAATAAATTGTTCTTTTGGAATATCCTGTACGGTCCTGAAATTGAGTTCCGGTTGACACCTTGCCCAAAGGAGGCATAAGGTTGATGAGACGTTAGTTTTATACGAACTTTCTGTCCTGTTCTACTTCGCTTAGCATGATAAATTCCGGATACTTCCAGCATAGCACTGCGGCAAGTAATCTAATGTTAAGATAAAGTTGGTGATGTTGGTGAGAGCCAATGCCGCTTTTCTTGACATCAAACATCTGAGCTAGAGACTTTCGTGACACTTTGGTGAAGTCTAAACTTATAAGTGGTGTCTTGACCACAGAGCCTTCTGGCTATTCGTTCGACTCCAATTTTATGATTGAAGTTTTCGCCTGAATACTCTTTGAGCTGGAATTCTTTCACCAATGTGATTGCATTTGTTTCTGCCTCTTCATCATTTGTACACTTATAACATCCCGTTGCTTTCCTGCAATGGTGGCATCATCATTTTCTATGCAGAGTGGTGATTTACGTCTGATTACGTTCTTGTGGAGTTTTTTTAATTTCTGACCATGAATTCCACTTTCCTGAAAAAGTTTGCCGTCTGATCGTCTCCCGTGACCGCCACCCATATCCGTTCGCATTCCTAATATCGTACTTTCAAGCTGGAGATTTGCTGTTCAGCCATGATGATGGAGGAAAATTTTCCTTGCAAGTGGATTCTGGATGTCTTCTACTAAAATAAAATCTTTGAGAGGTGAGTGAGCCAAAATTACTTTCATCTTCATTTCTGTTTTACTTATAGCTCATGGACCTCAGGTTTCTGAGCTCGTCGTCTCCTGGCATTCCATGAGATAATCTTCAGTAAATGCTTCATGTCGATGTCTTCTCTATCGCCAGCTGCTGTTAAAATCTTCTTGTTCGCTGTCAATAAAGCTGCCATGATATGGTTTTGACCAAAGCCTACTGGTAGTGCCCTTACGGAGGATTCTTGGTCACTTTTCCTCATCCAATGGCCTGATAAGGGACCTGCAGTTTTTAGATAGATTTTCGTGTTCTTCGTTCTTTCAACACTCTGTTGTGATCGATGTTCACCCTCTCTTCTTCAAGTTTTCGGGTGACTGTGTTCCAGTACGTGTCTTCAATGCTCACAGCTAAAACCAAGACACCAGTGGTTATTGGTTTTGGCTGATTCAGACTGTTGTTTCGAAAGGTGCAGGCTGTTTGCGTCAACGACTCATTATCGCTGGTTGTGTTTTTTAGACCTGCTTGTTCATTTCCATTTCGGAAGTAGACTATTGGGAGAAGTGGATGAAAATCACCAGGCGGTTCTTCTTCTACGTAAAACTGTTTTAAAATAGTTACTCTTAAAGGTACAAGAGAAGGCCATTCGGGATATTTGTCTGTTTTAAATGATTCAATAGGAAGCTACTAGTTAACACTTTTATCAGGCAGCAACCAATATTATTATCCATTGTTATCGATATCCAAAAAAAAAAAAACTGAATAGATTCGTAAACTACTCACATTTTAGATACCACTCAAAAATATGATATAAAACCAGAAACTATAATAAAGGTTCGGCATTGAAAAACAGTAAATTGCAAGGCCGCTCGCGGATAAGTCAATAGACATGATACTTAAATTATGTATAGTTTTGATTGCTTTGTTAGCAAGGTAATAAATCATAACTTCAACTTATTTAATTCAACTTTGGAATAAAATATAATTCCAATTTTGATTTGTTCTAGTTCGTATGCTACCAGAAAGCTTCCAGAGAACTTTATGCTCGGAGCTGCATCTGCAGCTTACCAAATTGAAGGTGCCTGGAACGAAGATGGCAGAGGTCCTTGTATATGGGACTCGTATACCGAGGAAAAAGGTAAATTTTTCTAAACGTATTTGATTATTCTTCATCCAAAAAATCCCAGGTTTGGATAATGGTTACGTAGCTGCGGACTCTTATCATAAATGGCAGGACGACGTTCGAAACGCCAAACTGTTAGGATTAAACTTTTATAGATTTTCTATTTCATGGTCTCGCATACTGCCAAATGGTACCATCAATTTTATCAATCAGAAGGGTGTTGATTATTACACGAATCTTATCAAAGTATGTACAATACACGTTAAGAAAGCTATTTTATGTTTTTTCACTTATTAGAATGTTTAAACTAAATTATATAAATTATGACAAATAATAAATTCTAGGCTCTCAAAGCAGAAGGCATAGAACCAATAATCACCCTATATTATTGGGATTTACCGCAATACCTTCAATTGCTAGGAGGATTTTTGAACAGTCGATTGGTAGAATATTTTGAAGACTACGTAAGGCTTTGCTTTGAACTTTATGGCGAATATGTAAAATATTGGTAAGATCTTTTCTTTATGTGAGCCAATTTTTTGAACTAACTTCTTATTGGTTTGGCAAAATACTGGAAATTATTGAAACAACCCTTACACAAAATACTTATCCTCAGGTTAACAATCAATGAACCATTCACAATATGTTACGATGGCTATGGTAGCGGAGGCAACGCTCCCGGTCTACAGCAAATAGGTGATGGAGTCTACCAGTGTGCACATACTGTGCTTAAAATGCACGCCAGGGCTTACAGAGTTTACGACGAAGAGTTCAGAGACAGATTTAACGGTAAAAACATCTACGGATTGAACAGCAAAAAATATTATTTAAATTGTAGGTCAAGTTGGTCTGGTTATCAACTCTGAATGGCGTGAACCCAAAAGTAATAGTTCTCTGGATTTGGAAGCACAAGAGAGGGCATTGCAATTTAGCGTAAGTTTAAGACATATAAAGGTTAGATAAATCAGCTAAAATAGTACAGGGCAATTAGCCTGTGTGGGTCGTACATAATAGTTATTTATGTATCAAGGGAATTATGGGGGTGTTAATACCCCAGGGCAAAGTTTGTGTCCCGAGTGCCTCTGGCCCGAGGGACACCAATTGCCCGTGGGTATTAACACCTGATAATTCCCGTGGTACATAGATAATTTTATATCATACTGGATTTACTGTATTTTGTCTATTTTTAAAAAGCAATAAACCATAAACCAAAGTTTATATTTTTTCTCTAAGGTTTACCTATTCAAGGTAAAAGCGGGAGTTATAGAAATCCTTAACACCCTTGGGAGTTATGATATCCTTAACTCCCCCCCTTAACTCCCTTGGGAGTTATAAAATCCTTAAATCCCGCGCGGGAGTTGAGACCCTGTTTATGATTATCGTATCCAAGGTATTATATGATTATAATAGTTCAGTAGGATATAAATTAAATTAAAATTCTGTTAATACCTGTACTGTCCAATACAATAAAATATACAGGGGTGGCCAAAAGTCTGGAATAAAATTCATAGTTTTTCAGCAAGTAATTTTTTCAAAAAACGGTGAAACCCGTTAATTGATTTTGACTTTTTCAAATTTTTCGGTAAAAAAATTCCTACCCACTGGCCCCCAGCTACCCCAACTTTTTTTTTAGTGGAAACATATGTCTTGTGGGGGCTCGTTGAAAAGCTCATGAAAAATTCTATTCGGCTATACCAAATAAACATTTCACACTCAGGTTTTAAGGGCCTTATAAATCCACTACTGAAGTATAGTGAAAGGATTGCGAAAAATTATTAAATAAGATGAAGAATTTGAACCTTTCTTACTATTGTTGTTAGCAAAAAAATTAGGTATTTTTTTCGTCCTTTCTCATCTACCAGACTGTTCAGTTGAATTGTTTACTTTAGTTGTAAATCGGAAGTTTAGTGAATATTATTGTGTCGGAAACCAAAATAATTTTGAAATCATAATGGTATTGTCGGAAAGGCAGCGTATCTAAATTTTGGTACTACTTGGATGTGGAGATAAATTGAGAAGTCAACGCCCAAATCTCACAAGGGACAGTGAATAAAATATTTCATAAATTCGAAGAAAACGGTATAACGTGATTTGCCTAAATCTGGTCGAACAGTTGTTTTGAATGATGATAAAAAATTCGACATAGCATTACAACTTGCTGAAAATCCTCATACTTCAACTGTTTCTGTAGCTCTCACTCAGGATGTTCCTCGAACTACAATTCGAAGGTTTTTAAAAAAAGAGAAATATCATCCGTATAAGGTATGCCTTGTTCAAGAGCTTTTGGAAGACGAATATGATAGGCGTTTGGGATTTTGCGAGGAAATGATGAGACGGTGTGATAACAACAATGACTTTCGACTGAATATAATTTTCTCGGATGCGGCTACGTTTTATCTGAATGGAATGGTTAATAGGCACAACTATCGCTTTTGGTCTCAGGAAAATCCAAACTGGGTATCCGAAGCGCATACGCAGCACCCTCAAAAACTCAATGTAGGTATTATCAATGATAGAATTTTGGGTCCATTTTTCTTTGAAGAAAACCTTACGGCCGAACGCTACCTAGACTTCCCGAGATTCGAACTGATACCTGCGCTAGCCCAGATTTTCCCTCATAGAGATCCAGACCTACACGATGACAGAATTTGGTTCCAACAAGATGGCACTCCTCCACATTTTGGTTTTATTGTTCGCAGGTATCTAGATGAAATGTTCCCAAATCGTTGGATTGGAAAACGCGGTACAATTGAATGGCCACCAAGATCTCCTGACTAAACGCCCCTAGATTCCTTTATAACGTAATTATTTTGGCAATTGCCTAATTATACTGCATACGGCTAGTCAGCATCAGTTCGGCGGCCATGGGTCTATGGGTTCGTTGTATACATCTTACCTTTGGGCGCCACCAAGTTAATTGTGACTTAACTAGGAAGATAACCTAATGATGTTATAAACAAAACCTGTGCAATTGGAGAGCTTATCAATAAAACAACGAATTAGGTACAATAATGTATCTGGCTTCTTTATTAAAAAAAAAATAACAATAATGAATAGGGATAGCCAGGACGTTGTTAAAAATGTGTATACATTATGGCTTGTACCAATTTATAAAATGTAAATAATGCATATATAAATATGAATTTTAAGTAAACATGACTAAAAACCTTTTGGTATTTACACTTGTGGAAGATTAAAAAAACAGTATGGGTTACACTTTACCAACAGGCAAATTAAACACAGAAAGATGAAAGTTATTGTTAGGGCAACCTCAGGGTAAAATTCTAGAATTTTATTTAAGGGGCACTTACCGAACCTAATTCAGTATCCAGTGATTTACATAGGATTTGCCTATATAGTAAAAGGTGTAACTTACATGTGATACAAGTGTTTGTTATCTTCACATGTATGTGTAAGTCCAGAAGTTCCAAGAGTGAGGTTAGCTACATGTTTGGTCTCACTGTAGATAGACAATGGTATGATAAGTGAGTCATGAGTCCTATCCACGTTGTATCTGTTTAACATAGAACTCGACGTGGTTCCACCAGAGTGCTACCAAGAGGGTTGCTGAAGGGAGGCTACCAAAGCCAACTAAGAGCAATCTAGATCTAGTCTAGAATCTCTTTCTAGGAGCTGTCCAACTATAGCCTAAGACTGTCTAGCTACAGCCTCGCACTAGGATTGTCCAACGATAGCCTAAGAGTAGGATTGTCCAACTATAGCCTGAGACTAGGACCCTATAACGATGTTTTTTTTTTTTTTTTTTTTTTTTTTTTTTTTTTTACGGATATGCGCACTCGCAAGGAAAATGTCCTATCACGCTCGAGAAGCGGCAAGTGCGCGGAAATGTCGGTGTATGTTGGTCTTGAAACGGTTCAGGTTGTAACCTGCAGGGAAAACCGTCGCAGGGAGTTTATTCCACAGCGATGCTGTTCTCCAGAGATATGAATTCTGATATAATGAGGTTCTTGGTGCCTCTAGTTTGACAGTAAATTCATGGTTACCATCTGTTTGACGGGTTCGCCTGGTAGGCGCTACTCTCGGTGGAATCATACGTGCCAACTCTTCAGAGCATTTTCCGTGATAGTACCTGTAGAAGAGAGATAAATCGCCCACAGATCTGCGGTGTTCGAGACCATCCAAGTTACGAGTAAGTGCGGGGTCATTGATCAGCTTGATAGCTCGTTTTTGCACGGTGTTCAAAAGCATTAAGGTATGTTTGGGTGCTGCACTCCATATATGTGAGCAGTACTCCATAGTTGGTCGAATCTGGGCTTTGTAGAGTGTCAGCAATTGGCTTGGTGTGTACAGATGTCTTGTACGAAATAGCACCCCCAGCTTTTGGGAGGCCCTTTTAGCAATATCTGCCACGTGACTGTGCCAAGACATGTTGGTCTCTGCAGTAACCCCCAAGATGTTCAACTGACTCTGTAATGTGACAGCACTTCCAGATAGCATGATGTTTCGCTCACCGGTGCTGGTCTTTTTTGAAAACAGAGCTGCTTGGGTTTTCTGCGCGTTGAACTGTACAAGGTTTTTGTTACCCCAGTCCTCTATTATCTCCAGGTCGTTATTTATCTGCGATATTTGAGTTAGTCTAAGATGATGGAATTCACGTGCGGAAAGACCTGTGGGTGGTATGAGTGAGGAGACTACATTACCATCGTCTGCAAAGCAATAAAGTGGATTTACTGTTTTATCTATGAGGTCATTTATGTAAATCAGGAAAAGAGTTGGCGAAAGGATTGCTCCCTGTGGCACACCAGCATTTATTTGGTAAGAGTTGGAGTTCTGGCCATCCAGTGCAACATAAATGGATCTGTCCTTTAGGTAACTTTCAAACCAAGTGCAAAGTTTCGGCGATAATCCCATTGCTTTGAGCTTGTTGAGCAGATTTTCATGCCAAACTTTGTCGAATGCTTTAGATATATCTAAGGCAATTGTTCTTGTTTCACCCCGCAACTCAATCGCTTTTTGCCATAAGTGAGTGACGTATGTAAGTAAATCGCCAGTTGATCTATATTTTCGAAATCCGTATTGCTTATCGTTGATAATTTTGTACTTTTCCAAGTACTTGGTTAGGTGATTGTTCACAACTCTTTCCATTACTTTTGATATCACCGGAAGTAGAGCAATTGGTCTATAGTTTAACGGATCTGTCTTTTTTCCTTTCTTTGGAATGGGTTGTACTGCGGCAGACTTCCATGATGATGGATATACTCCTTGCCTATAAGACAAATTGAATAATTTTGCGAAAGTTGGGGTGAGTTCGTTGGCGCAATTTTTGAGTACTATTGCGGGAATGCCATCCGGACCCATTGCTTTGTTTGTATCTAGCTTTTTAAGGGATTTTCGTATTTCTCTGTGACAAAAGGGTACCTCTGGCATACTATGGGAAACCCTTTCAATGAACGGTGGAGTTTTTCCGTTTGGCACTGTTAGGTTGGAGTTGGAGGAAAACATTTGGGCCAGCATATTGGCTTTTTCCTCTGATGTTGTGGCTAAGTGATTATTTTTATCTGTAAGTGGTGGTATGGATGACTTGGTGAAGTTAGATCCAACAGCTTTTGCAAGAGACCAAAAGGACCTAGAACTACTTGGACAATTCAGCAACCTGTTTTTTATTCTTTGATTGTATGTTTCTTTAGCGGAGTCAGTAGTAATTTTGCAACTATTTCTGGCTTCTATAAATTCTGTGTGGTTTTGAGCGGTTTGTTGTCGTTTCCAAAGGTTATATGCTCTGTGTTTTTTCTGTACAGCCGTTTGAGACTGGCTGTTGAACCAAGGTTTTGCATTAGCTCTACGTTTAGTTGTATGTGGGATATATGCATCCATTCCAGATAAGATTACTTGTGTTATTTCATTACAGCAAATAGTGGGATCAGCTGTTTTAAAGCAAACCTCTTGCCATGGAAAATCCAGGTAAAACTGTT